GGACTAGAATGCAGATTTCCCTCCTCATGTTTTCCACCAGATACCTGCAGTCACATGCACATTGTAATTGAGCACTGAACAAGAATGAAAAAGTGCTGATTTGATCAGAGCTCATAAATGCTAACTGAGGTGAACAGTAATTCTTAATGCAGCGCACACAAAAGTCTGTTTTTGCTGGAAGAACTTTGTACCAAAGAAATAGTCCCTAAAGAAAGCACAATGGAATGCCAGTTAAAGTGTGAGATCCTACTTGTAAGCTCAGGGCAAATCCATCTAACAACTCCACACGTCTCTCATTTCAATCAACACTGGAGGGTGGTAGACAGAGTCTTGCACGGGTCCAGTTTTGCAAACCTTCACCCATCCGCACCTACAGAGTTCGGAACCGGAAACAACCCGTGCTCCACACACAGTCATTTCAATAATTCCTAACCTGTGTTTAGGAAAATAGTCAGCAGGAAATGTAAGCTAAAATGTTTAAAAACACCGTTATTGTTCTTTAAGTGCTTCCTTTGCCATACCAGTGTCATTGCCTAGCCCTAGCTCTACTTACCTTGGCAGGCTTGTTCCTACAGCAGCACTCACCTTGGACAACAGCAGCAGGGTGGGCAGCTTTGGGTTATTTCAGGTACTGAAGTCTGAAATATTCATGGCCAACCAATCACAGCTCAGATGGACTCTGACTAGACCAACAGCTGATATGCAGAGTAATCATGCCACCTATGACATTCACAAGGTCACAAGACACCCACCCACCCTGTCAGTCTCTCGCTCTCCCTTTCTCTTCATCTTCATGTCATTTTGCTTTTCCATGTAAATTCCTGCAGCAGCCATGCAAAGTAGATCTTTAGCATCCTGGTGTTTGGTCCTTTGCACAGAAATATATACATAGACGCCACATCAGCCGCTTCGGCCCGTTGCTGGGATACGTCAACGCATCCATCATATTAGACCAGGCAAGACTGGCATGTAAACAAATAGTAAACAGGGGTGTCGTGGGTTTTCTGAAAAAAGGCGCTATAATGTTTACATTTCTCAAAAGATTTCATTGAGCAATGTTTATGTTCTACATGGAGTACAGAAAAAGGTTTTGTCTCCAGTTACTTAGAATCTCTATTGTTAGACTATAATAGCTGCTTGACGGTCAAGAGAGGAATATGTAGGCTTACATTAAATTAATTACTTATAATAACATAATTCATTGTCCTTGGAATTGTAAAAAATGTATGCTTTGTTGTGCCCCAGGTCAGAATAGGTCAATCACATTGAAATACTGAAAAAAAAAGTGCTTTCTTTAACTACTAATTTAACCTTTATTGAGAAAATGAGGGGTGCAATGGTGAGGTAGCTGCCACCCCTAAAGAATGCCTGGTCTCCCCAGTTTGGTGTCAAATACTTCCAAACACTATCAATGAATTATTTTATTTAATTCATTAAGTCTGAAGACTTGGAAACAAAACAATGAACTGATCTTTGATTGACCTTTAGAAATTTCTATTCAATGCTTAATGCTTAACTAATGTGCCACAATAATGTACTGTTTATTAATATATGTGACTGTTTGTGCCACCCGTGCCACCCTTTGGACACCCTGTGAATTGGCTTTTGTGACATGTTAGCTTCTTGCTTAGGTAATTGCATCTACCTCCTCTACTGAAACATCAAGAATGAATATGCAAATAATGTGCACTGTTTTTCCCCATCACACTAGTGTAAGCTGTATATTTGGCTTTCAGACTAGATGTGCCGCACAAAATCCTGTTTGTACGATTTATGGTAAGCACAGAGAAACTTAACTTATTTAACTGTTCAAGTGATGTATCAATCAAGAATATACTGTAACTTCTGTTTTTACGTTTAAGACACTCTGATCTGATCTGTCAGTGTGTTTCAGACAATCTGTTTCTTTTAGTGCTGCCTAAATGATAACAATAAACCAGACCTGCCAAAGTTTAAAAAAAAAGAAACCAGAGAAAATAATACATTCCTTATTACCAATTACACCAGTTTCCTTGTTATGTCAAGGAAACTGTCATATAACAAGTTTTGAAATTAACCCAAAAAATTAACTCGCTACAAACTCACTCCTGTCCCTCTGTTTCATGTCAAGAAGTTGACCTCCGTTGCCCACTCCGGTTCTGTCAGCCATCCGACCCCGCTGTGTCCGCCTCATTCTGTGCTAGTAGTTTTTAAAGTCCCCCTGTCCTTCGAGCTCCCAGTCCAAGTACTGTCTTTGCCTCCTTTGTCAGAAAGTCTATCACTGGAAGCTCTCCTTGTGAAAAGGCCTGTTTCTATAGCAACGTGGTCAACTTCTTGCTAACTGCCCTGTCTTGAACAAGAAACAAAAATCCATTGAGCTGGTAGACTTAATAACTGTACAGAGCATCCTGCTCTTCGTCTTTTCTTATGGATGGCTTTGTCTCTCTTGTTTCTGATTCTATAACTAAGCCACCTGTTAAGAACTAGAGAGACTGGAGCTTTTCACTATTTGATCCTCCAGTATTTCCTCCAGTTTACTAACAAGTCTGCCTTGGGCTCTAATGCTATTGTCAGTGGCGGACAAACAATCCGTCTGCGGCTCATTAGGGTATCTGCCTCACTGAAGCTCACACAGACTGCGCAGCAACGTTGGGCACAAAAACACCCCCTCCTCTCTTTTTCTGAGGCTCTCTGTCACAGCACTGCAGGCACACACACACACACACACACACACACACACACACACACACACACACACACACAACAAGTTGCGCCCCGGCCCCCGCCCCCTCCTCCCTCACCTGTAGTTCTACATGCTTGAAAAATGGAGCGAGATCGACAGCCCAAGAGGAAAGGTGGAGCAGAGAGAGAGAGGCTTAAAAAGCTAAAAACACTGGCTGTTGTTTGTTGGTCAGTAAGGGAGCCGGTAAGACATTAAACACTAGTGGTGACAACAGACACACAACCAGAGTCTATCCAGCACCACCAGCTTCATGAGGAGGTTAGTTCCACTTTGTGGAAGCTGATGGGCTAAAACTGACTTAATAAAACAAATCTTTTAAGTTGTAACAAAGGATATTGCAAATTTTATAATATGGTTAACTAACATAGACACAACATAATAAATTATATGAATATTGAAATCCTTGTATTATATTGTTTCATTTAATCTTTATTTTACCAGGTAAAATCCCACTGAGATTAAGAACGTATTTGTTGTTATATGAACATAGCAAATGCATATAAAAATTGTCAATTAGTGAATTTGAATAGCTGAGAAATGATGGGTGGCTTTTGGATTTTTCTTTACATCGGTGGAGAAGGGAGCAGTGTCAGCACGGTCAGCAGCACTAGTGCTGCAAGTTCCTGCTGTCATGGCAGTGGTGAAGAGTCAGAGCAGGAACATCGTTTCAGTTTATGTGATTTGAGTACAGGTTATTGCAGCACAACAGAAACATTTATTTTGTAGGGAAAGAAACAGAAAAAGCTGTGTGTGGGCGCATGTGGAGCCTTTGCTTTATTATTTTACACTCTTACATCAGTAGGCGCCAACCTAACTCACTCTTGTTGTTTTGCATTAATCGGGTGGTGGTGGCCTGGGATGGTATCAAATTCCAGGCCTGAATTATTGTCCCAGTCGGCCCCTGGCTATTGTTCAAGGTTTTGATGGGGGTTACATGTCGTTGCCCATGCCATGCATTACCCTACTGTAAAGACTTTAAGAGAGATTGGGAACCCCTTTACTCATCTTTGCAGCTAGAGAAGTAACCCAAGAGTCTCTTGGTTTCAGTCCAGCTGAGCTGGTGTTTTGGCCATACTGTGGGGCCCTTCAAAACTGAAAAATGGTCGGAAAAACAAGCCTCCTTCTAACCTCTTAGATTTTGTTAACAAGGCATGTGAACTGGCCAAGCAAATGTTGAAGGAAGCTTAAGGGAGGATGAAGGGGTGGTATAATAAAAAGGCAAAACATCCAAGTCCTTCTGCCACTTCCGGGGTCTGCTTTGCAGGTTCAGTATAATGGACCATTTGTCATTGAGCACCAGGGTGGTGAGTATAACTCCTTGGTTGAGATCCCAGATCGTAAAACATGTTCATGTGATTTGAATCTGAAACCCTATTGTTGAACACTGAAAGGAACCAGGCTGTGCTTTCAAATGTCAAGACTGTTGCTGTGTTGAACACTCCAATCTATTTAGGTGAGAAGGACACTGATGTTGTAATCCTGGCCAGTTTGGATGCCGATCGTTCTTACCTGGATCCCCCAAACCGTTTTTGACACCATTGAAGTCATTTACAAATACCCTGCCCTTTTCTCTGATGTGCCCACACACACCAATGTCCTTCATGATGACAATGATGAAGGTGATGCTGCTCCCATTAAGCAACCTCCTTACAGAGTTAATCCTGTTAAGCATCAGCTTCTGTGTAAGGAAGTAGACTATATGCTGCAGCATGGCATTGCTGAACCTAGTGCTAGCTCATGGAGTTCACTGCCACATGCTACCCTATTCCACCATTGGATGATTGATTTAGCATCCACAGCCTTCATTACCAGGTTAGGCCAATTTGAGCAATGCCATTTTAATATTGAGTAATTGATATTGGGTTCTTTATACAACACCCCACATATATTCTGCCTTTAAAATCGACCACATATGCTTATCTACATAATTGTTCCTGCATTCAAATACCTGCATGGCTCAGTGATAGGCAAATTTGTCCTTCAACTCACATTGTCTTGTTCTCTGACATGACCTGGTTTAGCACTACCCAGATTTATCAGTTATTATGAAATCTGTTGGACTGAAGTCAAAATGAAGGAACGTTCATTATGGGCCTAATGGAAGCTGTCATGTTTGCTTTTAGCTTCCTCAAAACATTTCTCGCAACCAACCCAATAGTTTATGGTGTACCATTTTCAAGCCTCAAATTACGTACTTTGAGTGGAGACGACTATTGCTCATTGGCTGTGCAGTTTGGACTTTGACTCCGTAAAAGGAAACAATGGTGAAAAAAAAAAGCAGATTATTCAATTTTTATTGGTAAGAGGAAACATGGTTTTTGTCTTCATAGATGTTAGATTTGTAGAGAAAAATGAAGATTTAAAAAATCCTCATAAAGAAGAAATTGGCTCCATGTTTACAATGATTTGATCACTTGTTGCAGGAATCTAACTGAAATGGGAAGTTGTATAAATATATATATTATATATTATACTTTACTGATGTTGACTGTTGTTAAAGAACCAGAGTGTAGGATTTAGTGGCATCTAGTGGTGAAGTTGCAGATTACAACCAACTGAATACCACTTTCCTTGCAAGCATGAAGGAAAGGTTTTCCCGGATGCATGTACAATGATTGGTCAATTTTGCGAAAACGTTGTAGTGATTGGATTGCAAGTCTCACAGTTTTCACAGGTATTAGTTAAATTTACGTTAATTGTTGCGATCACAAATTACATTTCATTTATTGGAAATATACCAACTGAACACCGTTTCTCTACAATAATAAGTTAGTAATAATTAGTACCAAATTGCAGAGTTCTTTGAGGAAGTGTCTCAGAAATGATTAGTAATTGATTTGGAAGTTATGGACCTGTACATAGCATTAGCAAAGCATTTTTTCCACAACATGTCGAGCTTGATTCACAGCAGGTTTACCTTAATGCAGAAAAGAGTTCAGAAATGAACAGTTCCAACAGATTTGATGTATTTCCAAACAGAAAATAATAAATGAAAGAATCTGTGATGTCTTCATGTGAATTAGAGTAGTATGTAAGTTAGTATGTCACCATACACACTATGGAAGTCACACACAGACCCCCCGCCCTGCGGTGAGGGAACAGTTCCATGTATTCCAGGACAGTTCATGGTCAGCGTCGTCAGGAGTTGGCTCCGGTCCGAGGTCCTCTGATGATGTGGATCTTGGCTTCATCATCCAGCTCCTCCATGATTCTCTCCTGTTTGACGGACAGGATGGTGTAGCTGACTGGACAAGTACAGGTTAAAGGAAAACACGATAACATTTTAAAAATCGCCATGTACCTTGTTTACCTAGTAGGGTGTTTAAGATGTTTGGAATTTCATTCTTTGAATGATTATTGGCCTGGACCTATTGGGTACAAAAACAAACCAACAAATGCACTATTGTCCTCAGTAGGGATGAACTGACTTGATATCAGCTGCCTTCTTTTATATTTTCTATAAAATACATTTTCTATAATTTCATAAAATGACCAGAAACAAATCTTTTCATTGAGTTTCAGTTGTTCATAGTAAGTCTGTAAATTTAAGAAACAGTGATGTTTTTAGATTAATAATATCAATATTCAAAAAACAGTTGGAGAAAGTGCTTGTTGTTACATCTTACACAGCTGAGGGGTTATTGTATTGGGCATTATTATCGTCATGGGCTATACTGTAGCACCCTCTAGTGACAGACAGTTATACTGCAACACAATGTGATACCACATAACACATGCAGTGTTTTACAAAACAGGCCAATAAACAAAGTTAATCATAGACTAGATTTTGTTCCCATAGAAAGCAAATTGAGGAGAGGTCAATATCTGGTGTTTTGTGAGAACAGATCTTCCTCTGTACAGAGTTCATTTAAAGGACCAGTGTGTAGGATTTAGTAGCATCGCGCGATGAAGATGCTGTTTGCAACTAACTGAACACTGCTCGCAACAAAAACACCACAATTCCTATATTCAATTCAGGTGATTATACACGAATGAAAATAGAACTATGAATAATATATTCTATTTCTGACAATAGGACCTTAACAATGAAGGAGCTCCAGGAGGGTTGTGTATCACCAGGAGAACCACAGACTGACTCAGTTTTCTTTCATTTGTTTCTCTTTAGAGAGTAAAAAGGGTTCTTTCTGAGTCTTAACGTTGAACATATTTTTTACCTTGCTTAGTGTGATTTAGGCGTGGGACAATATGAACATTTCATGTCACAATTATCTTGACCAAAATAATTGTGATACAAAATAATCATTAAAAATCAATCAATCAGGAAATCAATATAGGACTGTGTGTTCCAGTATGTACATTTTCATGATTATCGTGATAATATGGTGTATCGCAATTATTTTGGCAGCATAATCAGTTGCATAATATAGGATAATCGTGACATGAAATTTTCATAAACGTCCCCAGCCTATTAGTAGTGTAAGTAATTACTGTCGGCAGGGAATAATAAGTAAAGTACTAATATTACTTTTGAAAAGAGTAATGACTAATAGATTATCTTCCAGTCTTCCATTTAGAAACTATGTAAAAATTATTATTATTATTATGATTAGTTAAATATGAGTGTACTGGATGCAGTGCTGAAAAGATAAAGACTAAGGTTTAATATTCAGAAATAACAACAAGCAAATGATACTGATTCTTCATGCTTCTTACATCCTCCGAGCCCCTGACTGAAGGACGCAGTTCATGTGTTTTGTGTAATTGCTTATATGACATCTATGAGACCAGGAAACCTTGTGAAGGATACACATGCCGACCACAAACGCTCCGATCCCCAGGCCGGTCAGCAGGTTCCTGCTGCGGAGCCGCGCTGCGTTTTTCTTCCAGTAGTCGAGCTCCTGTCGGCGGCGGAGGAGCTGTCTCTCTGCCGCTGTTGGTGAAGCTTCTGCGGATCCTTCTGCTGCTTTCTCTGCCATTAGGACTTCTTGGGATAATCAGCTGCCGGAAGCACCAGAAGAACCGGAAGAACTCTTCTTTAACAGAGGAGGGGGGGAAATACTGCCCCCTATGGTACCGGAGTGTGCATTAAATCATCTGAGTAAATAAGCAAGATTCCTAATAAATGGTCAAATTTCAACAGACAGGTTCTTACGGAGCCCCTAAAGTCCCCAAAAAGGAAATAGTTTTTTATTTTGTGCGCACAATTTATTTATCTCTTGGGCACAAGATAATTCACTATAAATTCATATACATCTCTAACGGCTTCAGACGCACACAGCTATGGGGTGCCGTTTGTAAAGCGGCTCATGGTGAAAATAACAGCAACATTTTGTCACATTTAGCTTAGTTTAAAAAAGTTTAAAAAACTGGTATGAATTTTTGAGGGTCACTTTTTTGCACATTTACTACAATATTTGTCAATATTTACCAGTTTTTTAAACATTGTTTGAAGCTAAATGTGACAAAATGTTGCTGTTATTTTCAGCCTGAGCCGCTTTACAAACGGCACCCCATACACAGCTGTCATATAATGGAGAGAACTCAGCTTATCAAGTTTTATTTTCACCTCTGAATGTCATAGCATGAGATTCTTGCTGCTCTTGCTGAAATCTGAATGTCCACCAGATTCTGTTTATAGGGGCATGGACCCTTCAGTAAAATGGGCGAATAACAGAAAGCTATCTTTCTCATCTATCTTATCAACCAGCTCACCCACCAATAACATAACAAACTGACTGCTTAAATAAAGCAATGAACACAGCAATGTTTCAAACTTCTCCACTATGTTAAGATAACTTGTGTCCACAAGATAATAACTTGTGCGTACAAGATAAAAAATATTTCCTTTTGCGGACTTTAGGGGTTCCGTAGGTTCTTCAGTATTGGAAAATGTATTTACTCATCATTTTTGTCTTATGGAACAATAAAGGAATGAAGAGGAAATGTCTATTTGAGAAGGATTGGTATGAGAAAGGCATTTTGTCTGCAAATGATTCATTGGCTTACAGTGGTAACCTTTTGGATTACATGTCTTCTTATATTATTGTTTTAATGAGTGATAGTGATTAATGATTGTAACTTAAAGGGTAATAACAAATGTATTATTGTGTTTCTGAAGTCAAAGTGTTTTATGGTTATAATAGAGGGTTCTATGCAGAGGTTCCTCATATGCAAACTTTGTCTTTTATGGAAAAAACATCTAAATGTATTAATTTAAAAAAAATGTCATTATTGCTGAAACTTTCACTATATCCTGACAGTAGTTTTTTTTTTTTTTTATTTTTTTTTTTTTAAGCTTTATTGAAAAAGTACAAAAAATAAACAATAAACAATTCTGGCACTTTTCATAGTACATACACTTCACAAGTGTAAAGAGAATGCCAGGTGAACATCATCCAACATTAGTGCAAGCCAACTCACAATAACACATTAGTGCTTCAATACAATAAATTCGGAGCAATTGAAATAAAATGAAAATAAACATCTCAAAATAAATAGTCAAAAATAAAATATATATAAAATAGAATAAACATTGCTTTCATAAAGGGGGGATTCAAATCAATTTTAACTATCCATTTCAGTGGGAAAATTCTTTAAGTTATCATATCATTTTTGTGCCTTCATTTCTGTTAGAAGTTTTAGAGATTTCATGTACAATTTAAATTCATTCATGAAGACAATACATTTGGGTGATGACTTCATAACTCTGTTCTTGTGGATGAAAAATTTGGCTCCACAAAGGATTACATTGCAACAGAGTTCATCATTTTTGGTTTGCAAGATCATACCGAAAGTGACATCATCTCTAGAGATAGCAGCTGGATATAAAACGTTCAATTGTGAATGTTAACCCAGAATGTTTGTATTATATCACATGAGAAGAAGATATGGTCCGTGGTTTCAATGTCATTTTCACAGAATGTGCATAAATTGTCACCGATATTAAAGCGTAGTCTAAGTAATTCTAAGGATAAATGTTGTTCATAATTTTAAAGTGTGTTTCTTTCATTTTCGGGGGTATAGGAAATTTTAGGTACATTGTTCTTAGTTTATCAATTGATTTATTATCAAATTCATGTAGGATATTATTTTTGTTTTGTCTACCGGGGAACAATGTTTCAGTGAGGCAGTTTCTTATAAAATGACATTTTTTGTCCATGATTAAAATCCCCTGTATTGACAATGGGCCTAGTTGTGGTATTATAGGTTGGTGGGCCAATATATTTTTTGTTAGAAATATAAATCCATGAGGAAGTGCTTTTTGTAATTTAATAAAATATCCTGACAGAAGTACATGAGATAGATAATCTGTGAAACAATCAGGTTCCTCTGGCTCCCCCTAGAGCTCCTAATGGTATTTGGAAGAATCCACCGGGCCTGAATGGTTGTTAAGGCTCATTCCTTTTTAATCAACTTTATTATAGTTTACACATATAATAGATTACATAGACAAGAAAATTACTTCAATAAAATCTTTGTAAAGTGCTTCAGTAATAATCTTTGTAAAGTGGAAAACATGTATATAGTGCAAAACATTTATAAAGTGCATTTAGTTCATAAAGTTCATGCAGTCAGAGAGATCTTTCTCTTTTTTTTTTTTTCAGGTGCTGATTTATATATTTAAATGGGAGGAGAAAGTTTTTGTCCAGGTTTTTCCTCCTCCTGAGTTCTGTGTGTATTTGTGACTGTCTTACAGTTCTTGTCTTCCAGAGTTTGAAACAGACGATGCTTATGATGAGTTGGAGTAATTCCATTTGGTCAGGTTGTTTGTTGTATCAGGTAAAGATTCCGTACATCACTGATTTCCAACATGGTTTGTAGTTTATTCCAAAGTCCTTCAAGGCGTCCCAAACTTCCCGAGCTCTAAAACAATCCATTAAAAGGTGCTGTTGTGTCTCATCATCGTTGCAACCAGTCATTGGACATTTCTTTGTCGTTACATAGCAACTCCAAGAGACAACAGCCCTGACAGGAAGTCTCCCCACAGATACCAGCCACCTAAAATCTCTAATACTCTCTGACAGCTTTTTACACTTTAAAATATTCATTACCTCTGTGCCTCCATAAACCTCCATAAACTTCCATATTTAAAATCATAAATTTTTTAAAATCATTTTGTTTGGTAACCCTCCCCAGTCTATGTTCAAATGTTGATATTGGTTGATAAAATCTCAATATATTAATTTGTAATCTGGACCAGTCCTTTTTTTTCCTTTTCTTTTCTTCCGATTAAATGATTAGTTAAAATATCCATTTCAGTCTGATTCTTTATAATTACAGTAATGTCATCGGCGTAAGCCACAGCAGTGACTTTATGATCCTCACCTACATGTTCCAGATAACAGACTGTCATTATTGATGTGTTTGATTAGGGGACTGATTGCTAAATTTTATAGAGCTGCACTCAGAGGACAGCCCTGTTTCACTCCTCTCTCCACACTAAAAGAAGAAGATAAAAAAACATTTACATTTACACACATATTAGATTTTAAATACATAGATCTTACCATGTGAATAAAAACAGTTGGAAAACCGTATGCTTCCATCACCACCCAGAGATAATCTCTGGAGATGTAATCAAAGGCTTTTTTCTGATCCAGACCAATAATATAGAAATCTTTTGTATCTTCAGGTTTGTGCAGAACTTCTCTTAAAATACTCAGGTTGTCCCACATCACACGCCTTTAATGGCACATTGTTCTTTATCAATAATTGAATCTAGTATATCATTAAGTCTATTCATTATTATTTTAGTAAATATTTTATAATCTGTATTCATTATGTTAAGATGTCTGTAGTTATCAATATTTGTTTCATCACCTTTTTTATACAATAAATTAAGAACATCCTGATAAAAAGAATCCCCCATACAGCCTCTGTGCAGACTTATATTAAACATTGTAGTAAGCAGGTTTAATACTTCCTCAATGTACAGCTGATAAAACTCAGTGGGCAGACCATCTGGACCGGGACTTTTCCCAATGTTAAGCTGTTTGATGGCCTGCAACACTTCGTCCCTTCTTATTTCACCAATGAGTGAATTAAAGGTTGATGGGCTGTATGAAGGAATCTTCTTTAAAAAGCTATTTACATCATATTAATTTCTATTTTCTGATAAGAATTAGCACATAAATCTCTTATTGTTTCTCTTTCACATTTTCACTGAGTACAATGTCACCATCTTTGTTTTTTATGGATTTAATGAACTTGCTTTTGATTTTATTTTTTCCAGATTTTATAGCTTGAGGAACGTTTCCTCTTTATCGGTTTCTGATTGTTTATATATATTACATAGTAATTCATTATTAATGCTGTCTATTTGTGTTTTTATGTTTATAATAGTTTCTTCACACGTAATAGATCTTTGTTTCATCTGCTTCAAACTAATATATTGATTAATTAAGGAGTTATAGTTTATATTTTTAAGTTTATTTATTTCTTTACTTTTACATTTAAAGAAATCTTTGATTCTATTTTTTCCCAGTATTTCCCATAAATTAGTGTCACTTGTAGTTCAAATTCTTGATTGAGTCACTTTATGTATTTCCTGTTTTAATTCAGTTATCAAGTCTGAGTCTTTTAAATTGTGTGTATTAAGTTTCCAGAAGCCTCTATAGGCTGGTTTAAGGCTTAAGGCTCATTCCCAGGGCGTCAAATACCGACACTTTGGAACCCTGGGAATGAGACTCTATGTTGAAGCCTCCAACTCAAAGCGTCTTTATATCTTTCTCTGCTCTGATTGGTTGTTTTCATTCAGGCTCAGTGGATTCTTGCAAATTCCATTAGAAGCACTAGGAGGAACCAGAGGAAGCTGATTTTCTTCACAGATTATCTGTCTCATGTTTGAAAGTTTCAGCAAATATGACAAAAAGTTATTTTTATAAAAATTACCTAACCTAAGTTAGTAAGTTAAATTTCTTAAAAAACAAGGGACCCTTGTGACTTTTGTAATATGACTGACAAAATTTTAGAGCACATGTTTTCCTTATGTTCTATAAAGGATTGGATATCAACTTTCTCATATTTTCTTTTATATGGAATTTCTTTATTAATCTATTTCTGACATGATTGATCATTCTTATGGATAAATATCACATCCACTGTAGCAATGGAGCAATAGCAAGCCCTCTTCTGTGTGTTTTTTATTTTTAAATTATTACTTTTCTCTGAAAAAAATGATTTCAGTGAAATAGCACTGAAGATTTGTGGGGACATGATATTTTAATGGTTATAAGTCTGTTTTAATGAAATCTGTTATTGTATTCATATTGCAGTATATATGGCTTTTGGAAAGTACTTAGTGTGAGTACTTAGGTAAAGTGAGGCAGTTGCAATCTGCAAGTACACCCTTTGATGCCACTAAATCCTACAGACTGGACCTTTAACCCTTATGGTTTGTTAACACTGGCTTTTCATTTCTTTCATTTGTTCTGACCTCATTAAAACTGAAAAGTATTTAAGCGGAAACCTTGCTGCGAACTGAACCTTGATGACAAAATACAGAAAGGACCTTGAAGCATTGTTATTACACCAAACCAAATTTTATGTTATGTGGGATAACAAACTGTGCATTCCTTTTGTTTGCAGACACATGGTAGGGTGGGATGGGGCACCAGCATGCAGAAAGTCATGATACATTTATGGTAAAACAGTTCCAAACCCTATGTTAAGATTAAGATTGTTGTATTATGTGTATAACTACTACAGTCATATAATAAAATACACAGCAGACTTTTAACTATTTAACCATTTAGAGCATAGCGCCAACGGATTTCTAGCATCTACTTTTTTGAGCTATTAAGGTGGCCGGGGCTTTCCATCCACATTTAAAACATGCATGACTTCAGACAAACAATAAAGTTAGTAATCCATAAAAAAAGACTAAGGGGAGCCAGTGGAACCTGGTTTTTTTCACAGATTATCTGTCTCATGTACTACTGTCAGGATATAGTGAAAGTTTCAGATAATATGACGGTAAAAGTAACCTACTGCAGCTTTAACGACAGCACTTAAACATAAGTACAAATTAATTTTGAAAAGGGAACAAAAAAAGAGAAGAAAAAATGATTTTAATAAAGAAATAATTTAGAACACCATTCATACAGGCCCTACATTAAATTATAAGTAGCAAATTCCTCAAAGTGTTGAAATACTATTTACTGCTGGGAAGGAAACTTTTATTTTTACAAAAGTAACTTCAATACCAACAGTGGTCATAGTATTGTTGTCCGTATACAACTGATTATGCTGTCATTATTGATTAATTTGAATATTTATGGTATTTACCCTCTATCACTCCGTTCATTTCGCATTTATCAATTTAATAGATAGATAGATAGATAGATAGATAGATAGATAGATAGATAGATAGATAGATAGATAGATATTCAGACAAATTACATTATGTTCACAAGCTAAGAAAACAATAAGTAATTTTTGCATCACATGCTGTTGTTCCCCAAATGCAGCACAAAGCTTTATATTCAGTGACTTGTAAAATAACAGTTCAAAGAAAGATCAGATCAGTTTTCCAGGTTATGTAACACATGGAGTGAGTGACAGCAATATCCTAAATTCCCAAGATGTAATAATGACCGTACTAATAAAAATAAACATAAAAGCCTGGTTGGAGATGCATTGGCCAAACAATCATACATATCAGTGACATTTGACATAGGACTTTTAGATGATATGGGTGCCTGTAACCAGTTGTTTTTATCTTTACAAACAAGTGTTTCCAAAGCTTATTATGTTCCTCATAGAAAGCAAGTTTTCACACTATTATCAGATCAAGGTGGCACGCATGTTGAACTACACACTACAATCATAAACATTTGAAATAGACATTCAGTGGCCCACAGAAAAATAAAAACATCACGTTTCTATATTTTTGTGAATAAAAGGGTAGATTCTGATTCTGAAGTCTGTCTGAATAAATACTTAAATGTGATATGTCTGTTGAGTAGCTGGTCGCTGTAATCATTCCTCCTGTGAAGCAGTGACGATTTCGTCAACAAAAACTTTTGTTACGTGGCACTTATGTAACATATTTTATTTGATATATATACAAATCTGTCACACTTCAGCTAACCAAAAAACATTACACCAAAGATAGAAATGGCCCTACAAATAAAATATGTTATTATATATATATATATATATTTAAATCTGAATGCAACTCACATCCCAATGCAATGTACATGTAATGGGGGTTTTGGAGATTTTCACTTTATCAGGATCAGTCTACTAGCCAGTAAAGTGATGAATGCAATTACATTCGTTTGGGATACAGAGAAAGAGGAAAAGGACACCTTGAAGAGAGCACTGAGAGGGTTAGGGTCAAGCTTTCGGCCCAGTATTTCAGACAGAGTATTAAAAAGCATTGCCCAAAAGTTAAGGAAGGATAGACAGAGCCAGAGCATGTGTATAAGGTTAGCGGGGGCCTATTGACTCCTATCACAAGTTGGGGAGACATCATTGTAGATCTTAGCTAGGCGAGCCTTGGTAAAATAAGTGCTAAGCACTACTTTACACCAAGTTTCACACAAATAGAGACACTTCGTACCTTTTCCAGAATCTCTCCCCAAACCTCACTCGATATCGATATGGTGTGTGAATGTGAATGAATGAATTTGTTTCTGTTTGTGATGATCACTGTATGAATGTGTCTGAATGGGAGAATGTGGCATGTAAAATGAGTAAAACCGATTAAAAGCAGTTTTGAGTTGTCGGAAGACTAGAAAGGCGCTATACAAGTACAGTCCAGTTACAATATATTGTGTTTTTCAGCAATAACACCAAATCAGAAACTTTATTTGATTAAATAAATACATTGATTTGAATAAGTGCAGGAAAATCTATATCTATAATATATAATATATAATCTATAAAGTCTATATGTAACTCAATGTCCTGTAGTCTTCTTCTATCCATATCGTACACACTTTAAGTGGTTTTTGAAGAAGTGGAGCTGATGTTTGAAGTCCTCATCACTCTTTTGAGGGTGTCTGAAACTGACGTAGCGAGCCTCATCCTTGTTTTGAGCACTATGGGGCTGATGGCCAATGGACACGTGGCCACAGCTGGCGACCAGCAAGGAGCCCAGCCCATCCATAAAGAACTCTAGAGTCAGAGACAAACATTTGCCCTTTTAAAACAACAGCAGCTTGTATCATGGTCAACAATACCTAAAAGAGTGTGGACTTACTGCCACTGCCAACTCTGTCTGCATCTGGACCTACCTGAGTGCGCTACCCTCTTTAGTTTAGGGTCAAATCGCACCCTCTGTACGGCATCTGTACGAGCCAGGAAGAAGTTAACCACCCCACTGGCCAGAGAGCATTGTGGGTAACCAGGAAGAGGGTGGAACTTCTGCTTAGATTTCCTATCCAGACAGCCGCCTTCCATTTCCTCACCTTCTTCATAGTGAAGATAGAAGTAAAACTGGTTCCCATCTACTTTCCCACCCAGCTGATAAGAAGAGAGACACCAGAGAATTGGTTAGAAAAAGGTCCTTTGTGTACCTGCCCCTAGCCCAACCCTGAACAGAGCAAGGCAGGTTCATAGGAGGTTAAACAGTGAGGTGAGATGAGTTACAAATGAATTTAAACCTTTCAAGCAAAGTGAGTAACATAAAGCTACAAGAACTCCATCGAGTACATGAGACAAATAATAATACACATTATAATAACATTTTACTTGATTTACTTGAATGTCTATCCTGTGGTAATGTTGTGTGTATACGTGTATGTACAGTATGTGGCAACAAATTTCCTGAAATGGACAATAAAGAATCTATCTATCTATCTATCTATCTATCTATCTAGAAATAATAAACACAAGCCATTTCATCCTCACCACATCCAGTTCAGGGACTGACTCCATCACCTCCACCAGCTTCTCAATCTTCGTGTCCTGCGTAAACACAAAGTCATCATCCACCCACAGGAAGTACTTGGTGGTCACCTGGGAGATGGCCAGATTCCTGCCAGCAAACCAGCCCTAAGGGGAGGAAACACGCTTCACATTTGGAATCTTTTACAATCTTTTATAATGTTCATTTTAGGTAAATGCAATGCAGATCATTGACTGATTATATGACAGTCAAACACTAGTCAAAGTAAAGTAAAAAGTTCAAATAGTGATCTGAACTGTTTTGATGTAAAAATGCCCTAAAGCTTGTTCTGCAAATGCTTTAAACAAACGGAAAAATAAAAGTTAGTTAAATACATCAAATGATCATCTGCAAATAAGTTTATATTCACGCTTACCTACAATGATATCTGTAGCATTTATATCAGATTATATCTACAAACAGTTTTATTGTTAATGCAAAAGGGAGCAGGGATTTTGGTGTGTGTGTGTGTGTGTGTGTGTGTGTGTGTGTGTACCTGTGCTGGAGGCATGATGTACTGCTGGATGTGTTCTCCAGTAATGTGCTCTGGTTCAAAGCTGTCATCTGCAATAATGACTTCTATGTTGCTATAGAAACTCCGGATGCTATTCAACAACACCTTGAGTTGTCTGTAGCGCAGGAATGTCTTTGTCGTGATGGTGACTTGCGAGCTGATATCTGATTGAGTTATTAAAACAAAAGACAAGGTGATAAGACACAGTGTAAGCAGAACTGTCATGTCATGGGGAAAAGAATTCCATTGTCAAATATCTACCTGTTCCCATGTCGTATAGGACTGGCACCTGAGGCTGTTTGATGGTAATGGGAAACACAGCTTCATGCTTGTCAAACTGGAAGGAGGCTGAGTACAGAAGAGGACAGTCAAGGTGTGTTTTACCAGTAATACATTACTTAATTCTGACATTTAAAAAACAAGGTGGACTAAGACCCCAGTGAATCTTGCCTGTCTGAAACACACAGATACACATTTATGCACACACATTCTTTTTGATTACATTTACTATCAGGTATGATAAAGAAAATAAAGTACAAAATGACTTGCTGTAATGTAATTTTATGCATTTCTTTTCTGCAACTTTTCACATAAAGATTCTGTTTCTAGCTCAGTTCCAATTTCTTGGATACATACCGAGATCTCCAGTGTGTATATGGTAGACAGTGCTGGTATAGGACACTTTAGCCAGCAGGTTGTTGAGGATCACCAGGCTGCTAGACTCTATAATCAATTTTGTCTCACCATGACCTGTTGGTTTTTTGCCACAACATAAAAATAGTTAGTTTTATATGATTGATGATTATTGATGATGATAATGATTATGTTTTATGATTGTAACACAAATTACTTGACAACTGGAATATTCATATAAATCTGTTAAATGAAACGAAGCCTGCAAGCTAGTTCAGGCAGTCAACTCGAGCTGCGCTGATATTCACACATGACATGTGCCATAATCACTGACCAAGCGCACCCTTCCAATCTGGCGGTCTATTTAAACTGCAAAATTTCCCAGCTCTCCCCAATTTTTTCCCTGAAAAACCCGATGTATACAATTATATACATGCAGTGCACGAATAATCCACCAGGGGGCAGTAATCTGCTCACTAGAGGGCTTTCCGGCCATGCTACAAGACTGCCATTAACCAGGAAGTGGACACGTGGTTTCTTCCAGACTTCCCTGCCAGTTCCATTGCTGCATTGTTTTTGTTGGATTTGTTGGATTTGTTTGTGTATTTTTTGTTCAAGAAAAAAAGAATCTTTGAGCATTGTGACCCGCTGTATCAAATATAATACAAATTAAAACTCCTATATGGAAATTGATATTTGAAAATTTTTGTGTTTGTTCAGAAGGACCAATAAAGGCTCCAGTTTCAAAGAATTTGAATTTTCTGTCAATTATTTAATGGTTTGGGCTTTACAGGGTTAAGGTATTTGCACTCCCCAATATCTCTATGTAAACATATCTGCGGGGAATGATGAGGTTGGAGCCTAGACGCCAAAATCTAAATATGCTATACTGCTGTAATAAACATTTCAAACGTGAGTTGGCTGACTGAACTTATACTGTGGCTCCCACACAGAGAGGATGTCTACTGCAGAGCTGCTGCTGCCAGCCTTATCTTTTTATGCTGAATTTTCCTTTGATAAATACAGTTCAATAAAAGCCTTCTTAACAAATGAATGGATTATGTGCACAGAATTGGGACATAGCTTTTAATCTGAAACAGATACAGGAAGTGTTGAGTTAAAATCAAAATAAAATCTATATTTTTATACATTTGACATATTCTACAGATATACACCTTTCACTGCAGTGAAATGTATATGTATATAATGTCAATCTGAGTATGAACAGATCCTTTTCACTACACTACAGCCACACCTGAGACATGCTCAAATCTGACAACATGGGCGGCAAAAAGCAAGACAATCCACGACACACCAGACCTGGCAGTGTGTTCATGCTGCAAGGCAACATTCAAACGTATCTTAAAAGTCTTTAAGCTGTTTAAATGGAGTGAAGCCTGCGAGCTAGTTCAGGCAGTCAACTCGAGCTGCGCTGATATTCACACATGACATGTGCCATAATCACTAAAGCACCCTTCCAATCTGGCGGTCTATTTAAACTGCAAAATTTCCCAGCTCTCCCTCTGCTCTGTCAATGCCGCTGTTGCCCTGCATCCGTATTGCTGCTGCTGCTGCTCTGTAAACTATTGCTGCCTGCTGCTCTGTAACCACCACCCCAGCATCCACCTGTAGGCTCCGACTGGGGTTCTGACTGAACTACCAATTATGTATGCTTGTGTGAGGTTTAGAAGTGAATTAATATTCCAAAAAATATATTGACAATGTTTACACAGTTAACTATTTGCACATTTGTGTTATATCGTTATTGTTTACATATTCACATGTTTAAATCTTTGCACTGGCATCTTTGAAACAATATTGTGCTGAATGTTCCCCTGTTTGCTGCATGCTCCCAGTCTGTGCAGTCAGCTAATAGGACTCAGGAACTACATCTATAAAGTAGTTAGTTCTGCTATTGCAATCTCACCTTGGATCTTCACACCTTCAGATGGAATCTCTGTGGTCAGGATGCCTTTGGATACATGCAAGGATACCTAGAGTAGACACATTTGAATAAACTGCACAAAAACAGCGCTCAAGTACACATACCCCCATACCATACAATATTTTTGTTGTATAATATATGGATCTCGATTGGGATTGATTTATAATTACACATGCTGACTGGCTGATAGCAGCCATGAATTTGGTAAAACACTTAAATCCTGTCCAGCGAAACAGGGGAGATGTAGCTAGAGTCGACCACTTGTGGCGTGTTGAGTCTTTTTCAACCCGCAGATATTTCATAAAAAGTATGCAAAAACTTCTCTTTGGGCACCAGACTATTGGTAGCAATTTGTTTATGTAATGCTTCTCTATTTTCAAAGCATTCATTTGACAAGACGGAAGCAGGCCAGTCCCACACCAAAGCCACAATATCAGAGAGTCAAAGGAAGCAAGAACAGAGCCCCACTGTTTGTAGAGGAAAGAGCAGCCATGTTGGCGTAGAGCTTTCTGTACACAGCTAGCACAGGCTGCAAGTTATGCAGCTACTGTACACCACTGACCTTAAAGTCAGGATCCATCGGTTAAGAGATTTTGAAAGCCAATGATTGTGCAGTCTCATTCAATCACATTCTACAGTCACCTTTGAATGTTGGCTATTGAGGAAAAGGATGTTACTCTGACAGCCTGACTAGAATACAGATATGGATTTGGTACAAAATGAAAAACTGAACTTCAAAGTAAAGCTCAATAAATGTTGACTTTCAAAATCAGACCTGTACCGCGTAGCTGTGTTGACGTTTCTGCCCCTAGATCCAAGGTTAAGACCAAGATGGCTGCTGTACAATGATGTTTAATGATGTTTTGGAACGGTATCCACCGTAGTAATATTGGCACAAAGCCACTTAATCATGCTCTAATTAAGTTATTTCAATAGACACAACTTTATCTTCATTATTATACAGTATGGTTTTCTGGGTGTTTCAGCAAATGTATCATTTTCATTAAACGCTATATAATGTAATACCATACTGTGTTCAATGTGTTTATATGTAAAATCTTGAATATTTAAGGCTTTTTTCTTTTTTTTCTTTTTTTATGAATTTTCAAACATTCAGCAGCCATTTGGTATCAACCACCCAATTTGTTGGTTGCTGATCTGTTGCATCCATCTATGGGATCAAACCAACCTTGTAGCTGCTTCTGTGTCCTGCATGCAGTGCTAAACCTGGAACCAAAAGATACTATCCTTTTTAATAACGGACACACGTCTATCTCCGGCTTTGTAAGACCACATTTTGAGATTACATAGCTGCCAACTTTTCAAAAAAACCTTGGAGTGAGATTTTGTCGGGGGGTGACCAAAATTATGCCGCGCACACAGCCACACAAGTTGGTGGCTAAGATATCAGAGAACTGGAATTAATTTGATGTTGTACCCATGTTGTACCCTGCATTCTGGTGGTTTGTGGGGAGGCCCAAAGCCGTTGATAGGGCAGCTTACTGGAGATGGACAGTATTGGTTACATTCTGAGAAGCAGACATAGCTGAAGGTCCACCCCCAGGAAATTTTGCATTAAGTAGATGTGATTTCCTGCATTCTGGTGGATTTTTGGGTGGTCTGTTAAAGATGTGCAATACCTGAACTTATTCTGATTCATGTTCGACATCATGACTCGTAGGGCCTTCTAGACTTGAGCTAAACATTCAACCAGAAAATTATTGTTGTGCCTAAATGACTGCCTGTATCACAATAAAGCCTTATTCATAGACCAGTGTTTAAGATTGGACCTAGGTACCTGTCGGTTGATTGATATTTTGATTAGAATGGTATTAAACTGTGAGTAAATAAACAATGCAATGAGCTGATATTTTGAGCATGCAGTATACCACCAGGTTAACAAGGTGCTCTCCTGCTTGTTATGACAGCTTTCACCACACTAAATCATGTTCACACGCACAAACAAAGAATTTATATCAAGATTTAAAATTAAAGATACATACCTAGTCTCAGCTCAGATCAAGGACGAAATTTTGATTTCAGAGGTGGGGGGGACACAAGTATTATTTTTAGGTAATTTTTTGGGCCTTTTGATGGCTTTATTTATAGAGACAGCTGTATGGAGACAGTGATGGTGGGTGGAGAGAGAGGGGATGACATGCAGCAAAGGGCAGCAGGTCGGATTCAAACCCACACCACTGCAGCAACTCCGTATATGGTTCGCCAGCTCTACCGACTGAGATAACTGGCTCAATAATACACAATAGTAGTTCTTCTAGTTTTCTAAAGTTTTTTAAACGTAGCAATACTTTTACGTTTACTGTTCCCTTTTTTGGTTTGACTGCTTGTAAAGCATGTAGCAATAAAGCATGTAAATGTAAATAAAGAAAAAACATTCTGGACACACACACGCACGCACGCACGCACGCACGCACATACGCACGCACGCACATGGACACTGACTCAAACGTTAATGTAAATGAAACCTCTGATATTACCTGGGCAACTAGAAGACCGGTGTGCAAGCATGATGGAGTGACAGCAGGGACGGCCAATCACACAAGAAACAGCAGAGCCAATCGAGGAGCTTGTGGGCGGGTCTAAACTCAGGGTAACAGGCTTCAGCTTGAGAGGCCGATTCCGCTTGGTCCTAGTGCGTGACGAGTCTCTGTTTACTATAGCGTAACATTGTTTTTGGACGGTACAAACTGCAGGGGACCGAAACGGCCCAAGATCGGATTGGTTTGCGTGAGAAATTGGATGTGTGGCGTGAGTGCGTGTGAAAACAGGCAAAGGCGTGTGTCACACGGCGAAAGCGTGAGAGTTGGCAGCTCTGAGATTATTTTACCTGATATTCCAGACATGTTAAATTCAAGACTTGATTAAATCACTACTGACTATGATTTAGTTCTGTTTGTGGTGATACATTTCTGTGTACCAGGTTTAGCTCAAAGATTCTGTGATTATTTTTCATTGTGTTTTCTACGATTAAGATGAACCCAAACTGCTTCAACTTGTTGTTGTGTCATTTTGTATTGTAATGTAAAAACTTCAAATAGATAAAAATGCTATCTGGACTATGTATAGAGTATAACATAACATACCTGGTATGAGAGTGGGGGTCAAAGGTCGTACAGTAAAACCCTGGGTGGGATACTGCAGAGGAGAGTTAGGCAAAGCAAATAGCAGTTTGGATAATTCAGATGGTGACCTGTTGAGGAGATTGGAAAGAGTGAGGGATGTTGGTGGTGAGGGGGAAAACAAACTTGCATTGTGTGTTGCAGGAGATTTACATAAAACAAACTGCTAATATAGTAATACTCTTTGGCCCCTTTTCCACCAAAGTATCTCGCAAATCACTCTATTATATGCCTCTTTCCCATGGGTGTCTATTGGTGACGTCTCATGTCTGATAAACAGTAGTCATAACACATCTGATGCCCTACTCTCCAGGAGACAGCCTAGGTCTTTGGAATGTGCTTAGCTCATGGCACACTGATTAACAACTCTCCTAACTAGTGTGAGACAACGAGAATGTGAATACATGAGGATGAACATACATGAACATAAAATATATATATATAATATATATATACTGTAAGCCTGTAAAATTAAACATGAAATAGCACAACATAATATAGTTTGCTTCATGTTTGCAGAACCTTATTTCTGAATGCATTTTCCCACTACATCTTGTTTTTTACAAAGTTGTAATGTAAAGTGCTACTGAAGAATTATTCCTATTATTATAAGAATTATTATTTTATTAATATGGACATGCTATACATCGTTAGATTCTCCACAATTAGAACCTTCAGTTCATTTTACAGACACCACGAACACCAAAGTATCAAATTATGAGTCGAACATTCATACTGGTCTTAATAAACAATTAGATAACAATTCCCATCTTGGCTGAGCAAGAGTTTCGTGCAAAAGGAATTAAAGACATGTCCCAAATAAAGGCAGGTTGAGAGTAGCTAATTAAATGAAAGCACTCCATCCATTCATCCATCCATCCATCCACCCACTACCTGGCTTTCTGCTGTTGGAACTCCTTAGCTCTGCGCTTCACCAGCTCTTCATACTGGTCCTTAGGAACGCAATCTTTGAGGAGCACTGAGCCGGGGGCACAGGTGCACGGACCAGGTGATGGAGGAGTAGTGAGTGGTCCCAACCTGGAAGTGTGGAGGATAATATATCTGTTCTCTTCTTTGCCATATTATCGCTGACATTGTCCAACATTGCTTGAGGGCTCGAGCAGAATTATAGCTCAGACTGTTCATATTCTACTGATGAGCTGATGTGTTCTTACCATTCCACAAACACATGATAAGTAGTAGTAATGTAATGTTTTAAAGAGTTCGGTCTAGACCTACTCTATTTGAAAAGTGTCCTGAGATGACTTCTGTTATGAATTGGCCCTATACAAATAAAATTGAATTGAATTGTAGCCCTATTATGGTCTGTTTCATTGGTTTATTCATGTTATACTGTAGTTTCAAACAAATCAGATTTGGTTTGGAGAAGAAGAGACAGAGCGGGTTGAAGTAGAGTAAGTTTAGTTTGCATATCTATAGATGAATCGATGCATAGTCAAGACAAACAAAACACAACTGCTAATATTTGAAATTTTTATCCCAGGGCCATGACTGCCTGGTTCCCACCCAAACACATTGCAGTTTCCATGGAGCCCTATATGTCATGTGACCCACAGCTTTTATAAAGGCAGCTGAAAAAGGAGCCACAGCCATCCTACAAATGTTACTATAATGTCATCATTCATTCACACCATTTTACTTATTACTGCTTTTTAGCATTTCATGACTCTTATGATAAAATATATATGAAAATGTTTGATTTGCTGAGAGTATGCTGCAGGAGCACTTTGAATTTAAGTCTCTTTTTTAGCATTAAAATCAAAATCAAAATATCATTCTAATAAACACTGATTCAGGCAGAACACTGGCTGTTTAAAATGGAAACAGAGGAAATTAAACGTTTTCAAAGCAACCCCCCGACCCCCACACACAGACACAGAGTGGACTTTACCTCAGTTCTTGTGTACTGGGAACCTCCTCTTTGAGTAGCTCTCCAGGACAGTTATAGAATATTATAAAATAGCAAGTAAGCACAAGGATCACACACACAACAGCTGCTAACTGAAGTGATGGTTTCTGAAACACAGCCATCTGTGAAGAGACACACACACTTTTATTGCTTATAGTTGCTCAATTTTAAAGCAGCTATAACCCAGAGCTGCAGGTTGCAAGGTGTCTCTTGTCAATCAAAAAATGGATCTGTGAGCAATATACAGTCTGGCAAATTAATCATGAAGTGAAGGGAAATGGTTAAATCTGAAACAAAACTAAAAAAGGGGGAGCTTTGTACCTTCTGCCATAGCATCTTTAAACAAAGCATCCCATTAACAGCCGTGAGTTGGTGTACAAGACAGGGTGTGGTAAATGTGCTAAATGTACCGTATTGTTTACTCCTGTTGTTATGACGCAGTGTCCATATGTGTTTTTCTCTGTTCTTCGTATCTATGTATGCATGTACAGACTGCGGTGACAAATTTCCTGTGAAGGACAATAAAGTATATTATTATAAGATTTCACCATTAAGTCCTGATCATAGACCATAGAGCGTCTTGCACAAAATATATAAAATCGAGCACTTTTAATTGCCTTTATATTTGTTTCCTTCAACTGTCAAGGGTTTCAAGGAGCTGTGGCAACCCACAGAACAACAGAAAACATAAATCCCCATTCACAATCAGATGCCTGTTCATTCCTTTTTTTAAATATTTTTTGGGGGAGCTTCTTTCCACTTTAATCGATGGACAGTTGAAGAGTGATAGGAAAGGGGGAGAGCAAGAGGGGATGACACATAGCAAAGGGCCACAGGTCAGACTAATTTAACTCAAAAAATTGTTGAAACTCATTACATTGTACATTTTAAGTTAACTCATCAAGTAGCTTTAGTGACACTGACTTAATTTTTTAAAAAGATATTTTGTATTGTGAAAACAAAATAACTAGTAAAAAGTACATAATAATATATAATATAATAATAACAACAATAATAATAATAATAATAATAAAAATAAATTGAGTTTATGTTACTTACATTTTTTATGTAATCCAATATTTCAATAATTTTTAAGTTAAAATAACTCATTGTATTACAGTGTATTCATCTCTTTCATGAATTCAGTGCAAAAGTTAACGTTTTGTTTACAGATAAAATGTAGTACATTTACAAAGAAAATACAGAAAGAAGAAAGATAAGTAGGAAAAACAATTAGACTGCAGTAAAAGAGAAAAAAGTATCAATACTGAACGTTAACAGAAAACCAGCAACTGCCATAACCAACCCCATACACCATTTTAAACTAACAGAACAAAGGCACTATGGAATCTTACAAGGAAATAAAAAGTCACCATTAGAATCAAAACCTTTACAGCTTATAGAAATATTACAGAAACATCAGTTCTTACCTATTACCCAAAGAACAAACGGCAGTAACCCTGAGCTATGACAAAAAGGGAACTTAATTATGGGATTTCATCGTCAGCACAGTTTCCTCTTTAGTCCAAATGTTGCAGGTTGCAAGGTGTGGCTCTCTAGTGTAAAAGAGTCCGCTGTAATGATCTACCTACAGGGACCTACCTTGCTCTATTGTAAAAGTTTAAATGACTGTTTGCTATCCGGGTTGGAGTTGCTGGGAAGCCTTCCAAGACCTCAGCTTGCTGCAGGTACCATTTATACTTTTTAAACTCTCCATCTGCCAAATCTTCTAATGTTACTAGCAGCTCTACGGAAGTTGCCATGGTTTCTTCTTGCAGAAATACGATTAAACTTTGGTAACAATTTACAATAAAAATGTGTTGGTTGTTGTTACTACAATTTAGGCACACTAACCAATGCTTATTATTGTTAAAAACATTACAAACTATAAACCAAACCTATTAACATTTATGCATATTGTGTGTATTTGGGGCAGTCCAACGATTTAGTATTCATAGTTTTCCCGTGACGTCACATCCTCATTGGGACGCCCATTTGGAGTTTCTCTCTCCAGTGCTGCGCCAAAGGATCCGAATTACCTGAATTAAATCTTTTTGAGTGTTTATTTTGTCTCTACATCTTTTGCACTGATTCCATTAATTCCTCTAATTGGCTTTTTGTTCACGGGGCATTTGTTCCACTTGCAGTGGGGTGTTAAGGAGCTTGCAGTTGAGTTTACAATGTCTGCACCATGCATGAAAGCTTTATGAGTAAAAACAGCAGTGTGACAGCTGACGTAAAATAAAAGATTGAGACATCCCTAGTCTGTACTTTTGTATGCTGTCACTCTGACGGCAGTGTAAGGGGAGGGATTCTCCACAAGGTAGATGTAAAGATTGCCCAACTGGAACTCGGGCAGGTGCTGTATAAGGATCACAAGTGCCCAAAACTTGCAGTTTGTTCAAGTATCTTTGTTGTTCTTCTTTTGAGAGCTGATATAAATATGCATGGCTTGAAACTAATGGATCATTCACATGCCTCTTTTACGGTTCTACGGAGTTTCCAGTGTAAGTCGCTATATTGGAACGTTGTTTTGCCCTAAAAACTATTAATTGAATATAATATAGCACAAATTATTATTAAAACAAATAGCTTGTCGCGGTAGCCATTAGCGCTGTGTTTGACGTCCCCCAAGTCAAGCAGCTGTAGTGGACCCATTAGCTGACTCTGCCGGGACTGGGCCCTCCCAGTGAACAGCAAGAGGACTGAAAGCCGCATCCAATGCCGGCATAGGACAGTTTGGTGACAGGGAATAAACTACTGAGGTGTTTTAATTGCCTGATTTTAATTTGTGAAATAATTCAATGGACAGACACTCAAAATGGAAGTATTGACCTTTGAGGGTGCAGGACCACAAGACTTGAGGAATGAGGAGGAAACATGTCACACTGCCATTATTGAGCAGGTTGGGGATGGAACATAAAATCCAACTAAAGTGCAAGTGTAGGCATGATGAAGCATATTCAAGCTGTCCTCAGTGGACCACATTGTTTAAGGAAGTAACAGACACATACTCAGTTACACCACTGCTTTTGAAAAACCAGTTCTGGTTGAGGTAAAGCTTTCAGGTTTATTATTCCAATGTTTATTCAAACAGAGCATACAAATCACATAACCACCCTTCTTTGCTACATCCCCTTCCACAAAGGAGGGGTGTAATGTGGATATGTTTTTAGGGGATTGTTTATTTAGCTCATCAGTTGTAACATGACTGCCTGTTCTGCAGTTGGGATACAGTTGCTGAAGAACAGGTTTGCAAAGAAACAGAAATACCAAATGACTCTTGTTGGTCTATGAAAGCACATTTCCACTCATCCCAGCCCATACTTCTTCAGTTATGAGCCCATCCTCCTTCAGTTATGAGCCCATCCTCCTTCAGTTATGAGCCCAACCTGCCCCGTGTAAACACAGCTGATCTGAAGGCTCCACCAACAGGTTAAAAATAAACGTGCCCCGACTGCAACCGTCCGACCAGCAGATCATTGTAACGGCTGAATGAAATCTGGTCAGCAGTAGACGCCTCAAACGTCACGAAAAATAGCCTGAACTGAAGAAATATTATTTTTAATGCTATTGCAAAAAGTAATGATAAAACACCCCATTAGCGTATCTGTGCAGATGACAACATTAATGCTTTCATGTGTGTCTGGGCCCATATCTATCCAGAATCTCAGAATCATTCCACGGAATTGTGCCGACAGTTAACTTTGGATTAAAAAAAACAACTTCCTACCTCAGAGGTCGTTGTTTTACCACACCCAGAGCAGCAAAGCAGAAATTATGATGATATATCGGGGTCATCCATGGTTGTAGCTGTCCGTTTGAAATATTATACACTGCTAAAATTCAGAATGCTGAAAATAGCACCACTTTTTTATGTAATGTGAGGAAATAACTCCAGTACCTTTCTTCCAGTAACCAGATAGCTTACTAATGTTTTACCTACAGCCTACTGGTGTGTATAGGTAAATTCTATCAAGCTATTTATTAGTTTCGGCATCAATAATGCCTTTGCATGTATAACTTTGGTTAACTTGATCTGCTTTGAATTTTACCATTAATAATCCCAACGGCGACTGTCAGGAAAGATGAAATATCTGATTCAGAGATGGAGCATGAGATGTGGAGTGCTTGGTCTGAAGTGCTTTAATGATAGTAGTAAACACAACTTTGGCATTTAAGAAGCTCATAAGAACCGGGGTAAGGAGAGCTACATTTTCTGAACAGCTGCCAAAAAAATAAAGTGTATTCTAACCTCTGCCTGCCAAAACAGCAGGAAACTGGCAAAACGCAGGCTCCCTGTAACAGTTTGGAGTTTTTTAAGCTGACAACCCTGATGACATCATCAGGGTTATTTTCTCAAACTTTAAAAAGCTCACTACAGAGCCACAGAAAACATCTTACAACTGTTTTTATAGGCTAAATAACTCCTCAAGTAAAGAAAACCGGTGTAGTGTCCTTTTAATAACACCTGTATTGCGCATTTAGATATTTTGGCCAAAGGAGAGTTCTGGAGGCGACACAGCACCTGGCTGTGTTTGTGAAGGCACACTGTAAAGTACTCGGTTTTCCTGGTCCCTATTACAATGTAAGGCAATGTAAGGGTGAAAAGTTTCCTTTTCAAATGAATAGGGATGCACGATAATTATCGGGACAGATGAATGATGTGCCGATAATAGGGAATTCTTATTATGAATTATAGGGATCATTAAACTACAGCCAATAAATGATATGATGGTATTAATTATTCATCTTGAATTCTTATGCAAAACAATTGTTAGCCTTAACTTTACTAGAAAAAATTAATGAACATTTGATGAACTGAACTGTTGTTGTATTAGCAACAGGGATGTCAGTCAGATTTGGTTGGAACAGAGCTGTGGAATATTAAATCCTCCATCTTTGCTCACAACATAACTTAAGACTTTCTTACCCTCAGCTGTGTAAAAACTACAAGTTATGAACTAATTTTTAAAACACAAATATGTGAAATTATCAATATCAGCCATGAGAAGAAGGGAATTATTGATTTAAATAAAGAAATCGTGCATCCCAACAGATTAAGCCACCTTAGTTTCAGCCCTGCAACGCTTAGAGCTAACCCAGCTTAACAAATGGAGAATGATTATAGCTTCTGCAAAATATTGCATCTATGAAGTTCTTACTGTAACTTTGGTTTTCAAGTTTAAAAAAAAAATCGAGAACAGAAAAAAAGTCCAGTCAGAGCAAAAATGAGAAAACATTTTCCAAAGCTCAATCAACTCCATAGCCTCGGAGCTAAAAGAGCTACAGCGCTAACAATTCTCCGGAGTTAGAGAGCTACGCAAGCAGCAGGTGGCTCAGGATCCTGCGGCGGGTGTGGGGGGCTTCTGGGACGCGGTGAGAGACGAGGGGTGGAAGGAGTCGGGCAGGTTCTTGGCGTACTCCACCAGCTCGTAGGAATCTCTGATGTCTGTCAGGCCGAACCAGAAGACGGTCCACACCCCATTAACGAAGCTGCCATCACAGTGCTTAAAGTACCTAGACAGACAGACAGACAGACAGAGAGGAAGATCACATGTCAAATTGTATTGTTCATTTTCAGTTAACATAAGATTATTTTAAGGTCAAGGTTCCCACTCTTAAGAAATCCTTTTCCAGGAGTTTTTATTGACAATACAAAATATCGCAACGTGCAACAAAAAGCAGGTGAGTGATTAACCCTCTCAGCCATCACTGTTCTCTTCAGAGCAAAGTGAAAACAGTCACACTAGTGACTTTGTGAGGCTGTACTGACGGCTTTTTAGTGATGTTAAAACCAGCCAGAGCCAGACTGTTTCCATCAATGACGCTTGGTGCTCAAACACAAGTGGATGGACCCATGGTTTGTTTTATGTGAAGATGAAACCATATTATCATCACCATCTTGTTGCTGCTGTTTACATTCAGCCAGATGCAAATTCAAAAGATGACCTGCAGAATTCATTCCTGGGTGTATACAGGTATGTATATAAATAACTCTATTCATTATATACATTTAATCGCCTCGAGTTGGCTGCGGTCAAAACGCGACACATTTAGCAGATATCTGGCCGTCCCACCACTCAGAGGACCCTATGGTGGCTTATCTGGGTCAAGACTCCTCTCTGTTCTGGCTCCACAGTGGTAGAGCTCCCCACTGACGTCGAGACAGTGCGTATCTTCTGCCACAAGCTAAAAAACCCTTTCAGGCTTCATCGGAAAACCCTTCCTAGCACTAGACTCTTCCTTCTATGTGTTTTGAATACACGTTGGATGGCAACATCAAAGTCTTAAAATGTGTGTGTGCGTGTCTCACCAGGGGTTGATCCTGTTGGTGGCTCTGGACCTCCAGAACAGTTTGCCCAGGTCCTGTCTGATACACTCCCACAGGATGTGGCTGGTGCCCTGGCCCTGCTTACTGCTGCTCACCACAAACTTGTCGAGGTAGGGAGTGCCGCTGTTCACCGGCTCCATGGTGATGATGGCTGCCGCGCTGTAGCTGGAGACACAGAGACACACAATCCCCTCAGGAGAGAGGGCTTGCTGGGTTTGGATACATATATTTGACATACTTACACCCACAGGCCTTTCTTTAGTAAGGAAGACCGGATGCAACACTAATGCTGATCTGGATTTATGTGTGGTCATTTTTTTCCTGGAGTAGCTGCACGCACCCTTCAGAGAGGTAGACGGAGTGCAGTCGTCCTCTAAGAGAGTCGATGTAGTCTTGCCTCAGAGTCTTATCGAACGACTTGTTGATGAGGGCCAGCAGGCGCTCTACATTGATCCCATCCAGAGAGCTGTACCTACACACGCACACACACACACACACACACACACGTCATTTACTCTAAAGGCAATAGATGAAATGCAGTGTCTTTTCTTTTAAATTAAGGTTCAAAATAGAAATCTATTTTGGTTAGGGAAAAACTTGCATGGCCAATTTCAAAAGGAGTCACTTGACCTCTCACTTTAAGATATCTGAATTGGTACCCACAAGTCTCACCTTTATATACATGCCCACTTTAAGCCAATTACATTCAGCTTTGGGCATAAACCATGCAGTTTTTGAATGCAGTATAAGTGTGTATTTGAATGTTACTGCATACTGGGGTCCATCAACTGTATTGGAACTGCAAGCATTGGATATGACTGGAAAGCAGGGGCTCCTGTGGATTCAATAAGCCCAAATGTATTAATTTGTGATGATGTCAGTCCCCATTGTTATTTTACTGTAGTTAGACCGTTTTAGCTCATTGTATAAAATGACCTATCATGACCTTTAGGGTAATCACAGCCTTGGGAAACAACGTACAACCACTAACTAGAGCATTGGGCATTCAAATATTGTATACTGACAATAATGGGGTTTCAAAGCAATGTTAACATGTGAAGGGATTCTGTCCACAGAGAGCTATTGATCTCCAACACATACAGGAGGTGATGGGTTCATACATTCATATTGTTTCCCATGTCTGACACATTGTACAGATTCAGACACTGGAACTGTAGTGAAAGGTGTACATGTTGGTGGTATATTGTCCGTATGACTGAACAAATCCTTTTCGCTGTCCATTATTGCTGGGAACTGCGAGCAGCTCTCTGGTGAAGCATCGGTGTAGCTGAGATGCAAGACTCAGGTGGGCAGTGTGACTGTTAACAAGGGCGCCGAAAGAAAAGGTGCCCATGTGTGAACCGGGCTTTACGGAAATCTCCAATTGTCGATTTTTTTTTTATACCAAATCACTTAGAGCACACAGTATAGCACACGACCCTAGTCACCCCCTCAACTCTTTCTTCGAACTGCTGCCATCCCGACGCAGATACAGGACGGTGGCCTGTAAACATGCTCGCTATGGCAGGAGCTTTGTACCTTCTGCCATAGCATCTTTAAACAATGCATCCCGTTAACAGCCGTGAGTTGGTGTACAAGACAGGGTGTGGTAAATGTGTTAAATGTACCGTATTGTTTACTCTTGTTGTTATGACGCAGTGTCCATATGTGTTTTTCTCTGTTCTTCGTATCTATGTATGCATGTACAGACTGCGGTGACAAATTTCCTGTGAAGGACAATAAAGTATATTATTATAAGATTTCACCATTAAGTCCTGATCATAGACCATAGAGCGTCTTGCACAAAATATATAAAATCGAGCACTTTTAATTGCCTTTATATTTGTTTCCTTCAACTGTCAAGGGTTTCAAGGAGCTGTGGCAACCCACAGAACAACAGAAAACATAAATCCCCATTCACAATCAGATGCCTGTTCATTCCTTTTTTAAAATATTTTTTGGGGGAGCTTCTTTCCCCTTTAATCGATAGACAGTTGAAGAGTGATAGGAAAGGGGGAGAGCAAGAGGGGATGACACATAGCAAAGGGCCACAGGTCAGACTAATTTAACTCAAAAAATTGTTGAAACTCATTACATTGTACATTTTAAGTAAAATTAATAATAATAATAATAATAATAATAATAACAATAACAATAACTTTGCCCTAAAAACTATTAATTGAATATAATATAGCATAAAAATTATTATTAAAACAAATAGCTTGTCGCAGTAGCCATTAGCGCTGTGTTTGACGTCCCCCAAGTCAAGCAGCTGTAGTGGACCCATTAGCTGACTCTGCCGGGACTGGGCCCTCCCAGTGAACAGCAAGAGGACTGAAAGCCGCATCCAATGCCGGCATAGGACAGTTTGGTGACAGGGAATAAACTACTGAGGTGTTTTAATTGCCTGATTTTAATTTGTGAAATAATTCAATGGACAGACACTCAAAATGGAAGTATTGACCTTTAAGGGTGCAGGACCACAAGACTTGAGGAATGAGGAGGAAACATGTCACACTGCCATTATTGAGCAGGTTGGGGATGGAACATAAAATCCAACTAAAGTGCAAGTGTAGGCATGATGAAGCATATTCAAACTGTCCTCAGTGGACCACATTGTTTAAGGAAGTAACAGACACATACTCAGTTACACCACTGCTTTTGAAAAACCAGTTCTGGTTGAGGTAAAGCTTTCAGGTTTATTATTCCAATGTTTATTCAAACAGAGCATACAAATCACATAACCACCCTTCTTTGCTACTTCCCCTTCCACAAAGGAGGGGGTGTAATGTGGATATGTTTTTAGGGGATTGTTTATTTAGCTCATCAGTTGTAACATGACTGCCTGTTCTGCAGTTGGGATACAGTTGCTGAAGAACAGGTTTGCAAAGAAACAGAAATACCAAATGACTCTTGCTGGTCTATGAAAGCACATTTCCACTCATCCCAGCCCATCCTCCTTCAGTTATGAGCCCATCCTCCTTCAGTTGTCAGCCCAACCTGCCCCGTGTAAACACAGCTGATCTGAAGGCTCCACCAACAGGTTAAAAATAAACGTGTCCTGACCGCCACCGTCCGACCAGCAGATCATTATAACGGCTGAATGAAATCTGGTCAGCAGTAGACGCCTCAAACGTCACGAAAAATAGCCTGAACTGAAGAAATATTATTTTTAATGCTATTGCAAAAAGTAATGATAAAACACCCCATTAGCTTATCTGTGCAGATGACAACATTAATGCTTTCATGTGTGTCTGGGCCCATATTTATCCAGAATCTCAGAATCATTCCACGGAATTGTGCCGACAGTTAACTTTGGATTAAAAAAAACAACTTCCTACCTCAGAGAATAATGTATGTATCTACACTGTCACGCAGTACTCAGAGCGTGAGGTCGTTGTTTTACCACACCCAGAGCAGCAAAGCAGAAATTATGATGATATATCGGGGTCATCCATGGTTGTAGCTGTCCGTTTGAAATATTATACACTGCTAAAATTCAGAATGCTGAAAATAGCACCACTTTTTTATGTAATGTGAGGAAATAACTCCAGTACCTTTCTTCCAGTAACCAGATAGCTTACTAATGTTATACCTACAGCCTACTGGTGTGTATAGGTAAATTCTATCAAGCTATTTATTAGTTTCGGCATCAATAATGTATTTGCATGTATAACTTTGGTTAACGTGATCTGCTTTGAATTTTACCATTAATAATCCCAACGGCGACTGTCAGGAAAGATGAAATATCTGATTCAGAGATGGAGCATGAGATGTGGAGTGCTTGGTCTGAAGTGCTTTAATGATAGTAGTAAACACAACTTTGGCATTTAAGAAGCTCATAAGAACCGGGGTAAGGAGAGCTACATTTTCTGAACAGCTGCCAAAAAAATAAAGTGTATTCTAACCTCTGCCTGCCAAAACAGCAGGAAACTGGCAAAACGCAGGCTCCCTGTAACAGTTTGGAGTTTTTAAGCTGACAACCCTGATGACATCATCAGGGTTATTTTCTCAAACTTTAAAAAGCTCACTACAGAGCCACAGAAAACATCTTTCAACTGTTTTTATAGGCTAAATAACTCCTCAAGTAAAGAAAACCGGTGTAGTGTCCTTTTAATAACACCTGTATTGCGCATTTAGATATTTTGGCCAAAGGAGAGTTCTGGAGGCGACACAGCACCTGGCTGTGTTTGTGAAGGCACACTGTAAAGTACTCGGTTTTCCTGGTCCCTATTACAATGTAAGGCAATGTAAGGGTGAAAAGTTTCCTTTTCAAATGAATAGGGATGCACGATAATTATCGGGACAGATGAATGATGTGCCGATAATAGGGAATTCTTATTATGAATTATAGGGATCATTAAACTACAGCCAATAAATGATATGATGGTATTAATTATTCATCTTGAATTCTTATGCAAAACAATTGTTAGCCTTAACTTTACTAGAAAAAATGAATGAACATTTGATGAACTGAACTGTTGTTGTATTAGCAACAGGGATGTCAGTCAGATTTGGTTGGAACAGAGCTGTGGAATATTAAATCCTCCATCTTTGCTCACAACATAACTTAAGACTTTCTTACCCTCAGGTGTGTAAAAACTACAAGTTATGAACTAATTTTTAAAACACAAATATGTGAAATTATCAGTATCAGCCATGAGAAGAAGGGAATTATTGATTTAAATAAAGAAATCGTGCATCCCAACAGATTAAGCCAACTTAGTTTCAGCCCTGCAACGCTTAGAGCTAACCCAGCTTAACAAATGGAGAATGATTATAGCTTCTGCAAAATATTGCATCTATGAAGTTCTTACTGTAACTTTGGTTTTCAAGTTTAAAAAAAAAAATCGAGAACAGAAAAAAAGTCCAGTCAGAGCAAAAATGAGAAAACATTTTCCAAAGCTCAATCAACTCCATAGCCTCGGAGCTAAAAGAGCTACAGCGCTAACAATTCTCCGGAGTTAGAGAGCTACGCAAGCAGCAGGTGGCTCAGGATCCTGCGGCGGGTGTGGGGGGCTTCTGGGACGCGGTGAGAGACGAGGGGTGGAAGGAGTCGGGCAGGTTCTTGGCGTACTCCACCAGCTCGTAGGAATCTCTGATGTCTGTCAGGCCGAACCAGAAGACGGTCCACACCCCATTAACGAAGCTGCCATCACAGTGCTTAAAGTACCTGGACAGACAGACAGACAGACAGACAGACAGACAGAGAGGAAGATCACATGTCAAATTGTATTGTTCATTTTCAGTTAACATAAGATTATTTTAAGGTCAAGGTTCCCACTCTTAAGAAATCCTTTTCCAGGAGTTTTTATTGACAATACAAAATATCGCAACGTGCAACAAAAAGCAGGTGAGTGATTAACCCTCTCAGCCATCACTGTTCTCTTCAGAGCAAAGTGAAAACAGTCACACTAGTGACTTTGTGAGGCTGTACTGACGGCTTTTTAGTGATGTTAAAACCAGCCAGAGCCAGACTGTTTCCATCAATGACGCTTGGTGCTCAAACACAAGTGGATGGACCCATGGTTTGTTTTATGTGAAGATGAAACCATATTATCATCACCATCTTGTTGCTGCTGTTTACATTCAGCCAGATGCAAATTCAAAAGATGACCTGCAGAATTCATTCCTGGGTGTATACAGGTATGTATGTAAATAACTGTATTCATTATATACATTTAATCGCCTCGAGTAGGCTGCGGTCAAAACGCGACACATTTAGCAGATATCTGGCCGTCCCACCACTCAGAGGACCCTATGGTGGCTTATCTGGGTCAAGACTCCTCTCTGTTCTGGCTCCACAGTGGTAGAGCTCCCCACTGACGTCGAGACATTGCGTATCTTCTGCCACAAGCTAAAAAACCCTTTCAGGCTTCATCGGGAAAACCCTTCCTAGCATTAGACTCTTCCTCCTATGTGCTTTGAATACACGTTGGATGGCAACATCAAAGTCTTAAAATGTGTGTGTGCGTGTCTCACCAGGGGTTGATCCTGTTGGTGGCTCTGGACCTCCAGAACAGTTTGCCCAGGTCCTGTCTGATACACTCCCACAGGATGTGGCTGGTGCCCTGGCCCTGCTTACTGCTGCTCACCACAAACTTGTCGAGGTAGGGAGTGCCGCTGTTCACCGGCTCCATGGTGATGATGGCTGCCGCGCTGTAGCTGGAGACACAGAGACACACAATCCCCTCAGGAGAGAGGGCTTGCTGGGTTTGGATACATATATTTGACATACTTACACCCACAGGCCTTTCTTTAGTAAGGAAGACCGGATGCAACACTAATGCTGATCTGGATTTATGTGTGGTCATTTTTTTCCTGGAGTAGCTGCACGCACCCTTCAGAGAGGTAGACGGAGTGCAGTCGTCCTCTAAGAGAGTCGATGTAGTCTTGCCTCAGAGTCTTATCGAACGACTTGTTGATGAGGGCCAGCAGGCGCTCTACATTGATCCCATCCAGAGAGCTGTACCTACACACGCACACACACACACACACACGTCATTTACTCTAAAGGCAATAGATGAAATGCAGTGTCTTTTCTTTTAAATTAAGGTTCAAAATAGAAATCTATTTTGGTTAGGGAAAAACTTGCATGGCCAATTTCAAAAGGAGTCACTTGACCTCTCACTTTAAGATATCTGAATTGGTACCCACAAGTCTCACCTTTATATACATGCCCACTTTAAGCCAATTACATTCAGTTTTGGGCATAAACCATGCAGTTTTTGAATGCAGTATAAGTGTGTATTTGAATGTTACTGCATACTGGGGTCCATCAACTGTATTGGAACTGCAAACATTGGATATGACTGGAAAGCAGGGGCTCCTGTGGATTCAATAAGCCCAAATGTATTAATTTGTGATGATGTCAGTCCCCATTGTTATTTTACTGTAGTTAGACCGTTTTAGCTCATCGTATAAAATGACCTATCATGACCTTTAGGGTAATAACAGCCTTGGGAAACAACGTACAA